GTTTATTTAATACACGAGTTTCACAATTTGAGTTGAATTACTGAAATAAATGAACTTTTCCACGACATTCTAATTTATTGAGATGCACCTGTAATATAGAATCATCCTCTGTAAAGAAGTGAGGCGTGAACATGTGAGAATTTATCATTATCTTTGTAAATGTGCGCTCTTTTGGGCTAAAGTCTTAATGGAACCGTTTAAAGTAGCCATGTGATCACAAATTAATCGGCGATTCGGTTTATGCTGTTTGATTATGGCTTCGAATGTCGTAGTTGGAAGCTGGAAGTTGTTAGCCCCGGATGGCCCGTGCGCGCTGTTGAAATGCGGCTAATAATTTCTGACTGGCACATAACTGAACAAATGTAAATGGGTTAAGGCGGGGCCCCTGGGCTGCAGCCCATTCAAGCCCAATGGTAAGTCCGGCCATGCACACACCCCACACTCAGACATGAAGGAGGACTGTTATGACCTTTCGGTTCAAAGGCGGTGAGAGCATTCAGCAGTGATCTGGGACTTAAAAAAGATCAAAACGCAGAGGTACCAGTATCCATTTTCAGGCACCTCTGCCCTGAAAAACATGTTTTTCATCTTCAAATACATTTTTATGTAACCTACGGGTCAAAAATCTGAAAAAAGGTTGTGTAAAGTCCAAAAGAGTTCAAAAAGGCTGTCTGATAAATATTCCACAACATGTCAAGCATCATTCACACATACAGCATGATTCACATCATACAGGAGATCTATCAAACTACCTAATTTTCGACATGAGTGACTACAACTGTTGCAGATACAATGTGGACATGTCAATTGATTTGACGAAAGGTTTAATTTTATGTAATGCAGAGACTACCAACAGGATTGAAGACACTGGAGCTCAAGTGATCGTCTCCTGCAAGACACTATTTTCACTGCTCTGTATGGTTTGTTTTTATGGTTGATACAAGAAATACACATCACACTTTATAGTAAGGTAGTTGATAAATATATGTATGAGGTAGGATTAAGGGATCTAAAATATGGTCATGCAGAATAAGGCATTAATATGTGCTTTATAAGTACTTATAAGCAGCCAATATGCATGTTAGTGAATAGTGAGAATTGGTCCCTAAGCTAAAGTGTTACCGTTTTAAGTTTACAATTAGGACAGTCCACCAAAAAAAATGACAATTCTGTCATAATTTTATTATTATTATTTTTTTTCATTTTTGGGTGGAGTATCTCTCGAATTGTAATAAATGTAATTCACTGAAAACACTAAACTTGTCAAGTTGGAGATATTTTACAAGTAAAGTGTCTACAATTTTTCACTTACAATCAAATTGAAGTTTACAATTCAAATCAGTCGAATGTGTTTTGCTACATAAAGTACAATATTCTCACCTCTTTAAACAAGTTCATGAAGCGCGGGCCGTACCTCCAGGGCTTGTGTCTGTGGCACTGCAGGGAGCTCACTGTCATCTGCGTGGCCCGCTGAGACGCAACGGCAACCATGAACACTGCGTCATACATGAGCGCAGCCTCGGTCTGTGGAAGGAGAGAAGGATTTACACAGGAAACATGCTCTAAATATAATCAAACTTCATTATGCATTAATATACTGGCAGAAGGTGTTTTTTGTTTACCATTTGCACAATACTGGATATTACATAATGGTATTTAAGTTTAATATTCTTTCCATCTGATCACAGTAAGAGAGCCCCTCCCCCGCCCCCTGCCGCACGCACCTTATGTTTTTCTGGGTGTTATTCCGTGCTAAAATGTGACCTGGATGGTAAAAATAGATTTGAATAAATCTCCCGATGCTTTCTGTTTTAAGCCCTTCATGCATGTATAATGAGGCTGAGTGTGCTAGCAGTATCTACACTGCCTTCTGGAGGACGAGCAGATTAGTCAACATCGGTGAGACTTAATCCCGGTTATTCTAACTGTGAAGGAAGGGCTTAAAGGGAGAAGTTAGGCTCCTGTTCTAGTTCTGGTAGTTCACTGACAAGCTACACAAAATCGCGTTCAAAATCGGCAATGAATCGCCTGCGATTTTATGTAGCTTGTCAGTGAACTACGGCTCTGTGTAGTAAATGCCACTTCATCTGAACGCACGTGCTGGAGATTTACTTCTAATCACAGGAGCGGCTTTACTAACGAGATGCACATGAAAATCACATTCGATTTTTTGCACAGCCCTAATATGTAAATGAGGATTTTGAGCAGTTGCGATTGGCTCATTTTACTGTGTGTTCACACAGTAATGTTTGCAATCAACAACCGTAACAGATGTGACTACAAATTGTCCTGTTCATGCAATATCTTACAGAAGCAGATCAAATACTGTCTGTAACACACTTTTCTATTTTCAATTTTTGTGAATCTTAGAATCCATCCTGAAAATTAAAGGGTGTCACTTCAGTTTAAAAAAAAACGAACTAGATATGAACAGAAATATATGAGAGCAGACTGATCCTCACAGTCATAATGCCGCTCATCAGTCCACTCTCAGGTTTGGGTGGTGCCAGCTGGCGTTCCATGGACCACTTCTGGATCACGGAAGCCACATACGGATCATCTAGATTCAGGAGGCGGAAGGCTGTCATGTTGACTCCACTATAGCAATACGGCTCAAGATCCAAAGCAAACATATCCTGCAAGGCAACGAGAGTTTGTCCAGATTTAGCCTTGAGAGCTGTGCAAACTTTGCACAAGATATAGACTCTCCATGCCATGTTTTTCCATTGCTGTAAGAGATGAAAAGGAGCCCTAAGCCCTTGTTAGGAGAACACAAATCACGGTTGTACAAAAATGCAACAATTGGCTCCATTTTAATTCATATGTTGGAATTTTTAATCAAACTGGCCACAATACACTGGAAGTTGAACTGGACTTTGAATTACAGAAAGTAGAATTTACTGAATCAGGTAATGCATTTTAGGAAATAAAGTGTCCATTGTCTATACATTTGTATACTGTACACATAGTACAAAATTCTATAGGTGACATCTCTAATAAATCTACACTACTGTAGTAAAGTTTGGGGTCGACAAAGCCTTTTCATGTATTTGATTATAATATATGTTAAAATGCAATTTATCCCTGTGATGGCAAAGCTCAATTTTAGCAGTCATTACTACAGTCTTCACTGTTACATGATCCTTCAGAAATTGTTCTAACATGCTGATTTGGCGCTCATTAATCAGTTCTTATATTATCAATGCTGTAAATAATTGTGCTGCTTAATATTTTGTGAAAACTGATTTTTTTTCAGTACTCTTTTATGAATAGAGCATTTATTTTAAATACAAATATTTTTTAAAAAGTCACTTCTGGTCAATTTAATGGGTCCTTGATGAATAAAAGTATTAATTTTGAACAGTAGTGTATCTGCTTGCCTTTTTTTAACCTCTTGTTATTTTCTAATAAGGTTGTCATGGCATAATTCAAAGTTTGTCTTGACAAACCTTTCTTTTTCTTTAGTTAAAAATTAGACTTATTGCAAATTTGCTCTGAATCTTAGTTAATTTCATTCTACTTCACTGAATTTAAATTCAAACTGCATTCTGTTTGTTAACGAATTTCAAATTCATTTGAAATCAGTTCTGAAATTTGCACAACCCTGCCATAAATTCCCTCTTTTGTTTAGCCACAAGACAATCTTAAGTGTTTTTTTTAATTTTTTTAATCTTTTCCAACAAATGCTTTGGATTGTGTGGTACAATTTCACAATTTCATGTGTCAATGAGAATGTCAGAATATGACATTTAAAGCCCTGTGAACACTGCCAAACATAAATTAGGATGAACAGTTCTACAGTCTGACATGAAAGACAGTTGATGTCGCCCAGGGTGCACAAAGGTTTCATGTCACAAAATGTCAATAGGGTCCAATCATACAGTCTGACAAGCAACAATTATAAAAAACAGCAGAAAATCACTCACCCTGTTCATCATCTAATGTTATGAAAAGCGCTCTTATTAATAGCAAGCAGTCCGCTTTTCAGACTCACCAAAGTAGTGAAGAAGAAATGGTAGTACTCCGTCATCATACCCATCGACATCAGCTGTGGGGGAGAAACATAAAACATTTTTTGGGAAGGATTCGAAAGGTTGAGTGTGAAATAAGACAGTTTCAGCAGTATTCAGGAATGAAGGCAGCATGGCAAAAACTGTATTACATCTTTCTGCTTTAAAGTAGAGCTCTGAAATCCTGCTGCGCCACAGAATGCAAGAGCACTTCTCTCTCATTTTCAATCCATTTCAATCTGTGTGACGTACTTTGCGAGTTCAAAGAAAGTTCAGAGTGAGAATCTACAGAAATAGTGCCGCACCTGTTTGAGAAGCTCGGCGGCTACTTGGTAGGAGCAGTCGAAGATGATGTAAAACTCTTTTTCTTTCTTCATTTCCTTCAGCAGGGGGCGACTGTCGGCTCCTCCCGATGCCAGTTGGCGGATACGAATCTTCAGGTTGTTTTTGGACGGAGCTTTGATCAGTTCCTGCATACGCATCAATCCTTGAAACAAGAGAACACAAAAGAATGATCGAAGGTGGGGGGCAATGGAAGAGAAACAAACTTATCACGAGCTGCAGTAATTACACTTTTGATTTCCCCAGTGTGATAGCAGATGTTTACGGGGACCGTAAATTGGGACTCATCTATTCTGTTGAAACATAACAATCAGATGCTTTTTTCGGCTTCTCTTTAATCAAAACACTCAGTCTATAGTGGCAAAAAGTAATGCATTAAATAGTAGCAGGTCAAAATGTTATCTAAAGGCTAAATGACTGTGAGTCAGTCAGTGTTATTAGATAATATGATACTTTCACTAAAGTATAATTGCATACTGCTCTAAATCTTTCTTATTATTTCAACAGATTTGAGAATAATAGTAAAGGATAGAGAAATCCAGAAATATCCTTTTAAAATGTAACATGGTGAAAGCCTAATGGGTTCTCCTAGGCCGGATCAAAAGTCCACAGGTCTCTGGGGTACAAACGTCCACAAGGCAGTGTGATGCAATGGCTTCCACAAACACACAATCTCAACTATAAGCCACATTTAACGACATCTGCACAGTACAGAAACTGCAGTTGTTCCATATGCACCCAGTCCCTTTTGTACTAGTTTTTGACTGTTTAAACTTTGATTTGATTTATATCAAACTTTGAGAGGTTTAAGATGAGTGTTATTTTTGTATTATTTACATACTATTATAGTATTTATTAATATTTTGAAATAGCGTTTATAGTTTTTATTTACATTTTTATTGTTTTATTAAATATATTAAAATTAGTAATTTTTTAGTAATAGTTATGTGCTTTTGATATTTGTATTCATTTTTAAATATTTTTAATTAGCTTTACTTTTTGTTTCAGTTTTAGTAATTTAACACTGAAAAAATGTAGAAACAATTTTCACTCAGAAATTGCTAGTAAATTAATAAAAAATGCAAGTAACATATTAAATCAAATGTGAAATTTTGAAGTAGAAATAGGATTATCTTGTAAAATGTACACCAATAATTTGTTTTATTTACAACTGAAAAATCACTTTTATAGTGTACTGCTTAACTTTTTATTTCAACTTTTTGAAATTTTATTTCAGTTTTTGTGCCAAAACAACATTTCTAAAATTTCTGCAGCTATCTGCCCAGCTCCCACTGCTTCAAGTTCAAGTTTTTAATCTATTATTTATATTTGATTTTATTTCAGCTTTGCTTCAGTTATTAGTTTTACTTTATTTAACAATAACAACACTGCGACAGATTCACAAAAACACTACTAAACAGTCTATCTTGCAGATCATTCAATCAAGTGTAATGCTTGTACATTAAAACATGATAACTTTGTGAATGAATATTGATTCGGACTCAAATGACCTCCTTATGAACTCATCAATTACTTTAGGACATTAATAATCAAACAAGCTCAGATTCGGGGTCCCTATGCTTATGGAATGAGACTCTGATATGGGGCTATCAATTACATATTGGGCTCCAGTACATGTAGGGGCCCCTGGGAGTCACAAGGCTGAAATCAAAAGCTTCTTCATTGCTCCTGTTTCCTTGTTTTTATTATTCTATATTGTTCCCTTTATATTCTCAATTTTATTGTGTTATAAACCACACTTCTAGGTCATGCAGTATGATTATATTGAATGTGCACATCAATTAAAATGGTTTTCTGGTGCAGGATCTGATCAGACCATCTAAGCTACCTGATTTAATTGATCAATTTCATAATTTATTATTAAATCATCATGGCTTTGTATTTACACCCTGGCTGTTTGGTACATTCTTAAACTAGCTTTAAATATTAATCTCTACCGAAACTCAAAGGGATCGAAATTGGATTACAGAATTTAATATTTTGAAGAAAATATCCTATGCAAGATCAAAGAGAAATTCAATAAAAGTAGTGGCAGACCAATATTAGGGACATGAATTTCTTATAAAGGCAGCACTACTACACAAGTTCCATGTAAATGACATGCTTAAAGAAATATGTCGGTCATAATAAAGCCCAATAACAACCAAAACACAGATTTGAGCAACAAAACTGCTTTGATGCTCAGAAAAAAAGAGGTATGAAACCCCTTTTAGTCACAGGCTACAGTTATTTGCCTTGATTTAGTCTTGGCCATATAATGACGTACTTCCATGCAATGATAAGATCATAAATCATGCTATCAAAGTATGAGATTTCTAGACATAAACACACCGAAAGTAGTGTGAAATTAGTGTTTTCAAACAGATGGCTCCCAGGAATTCAAGACAAATCACACTACAGCAGAGACGGTGTGATGTGTAAATACTAGGGTATATTTGCGCTGGCATCTGTTCCCTGAGCTCCCCTAATGATTTCGATCCAAGTCACTGGCTATGAATCAGACACACTAATCTTTTTGAAACTGGTCAATCTGACACAAATTTTATCTGTTGCATGCAATTTCTGCAAAGACACTGGCTACAGTGCCACCATGCTCATTTTAGGCTGTAGAAATAGAAGTATTTGCAGGGCAATTTTCCATTTGTTTTGCCTTGCGGTTATTTGTTTTTGTTTGTTTGTGTTAATAAACTCTAGATTTGTTTGTCTGCTTTTGATTTGCTCTCCAAATTAGTTTGCTGCCATCAGGGGATCTCTGGAAGTGTGTTAGTAAACTACAGCATAATGCAGAATTTGCATATAATATGATTATTTTGATACATTGTGTTGTCTTTTTGCTGTTTTTTTTAATTGACAGGAGAGGGGGATTTGGATCAGGATGTGACACAAGCCAAATTTTCAGATTTTCAATCATAAAACAGCATTAACAACATTTAATAGATTGTCTAGTTGGACATAATGCAATGACTGACTTGGTTTTGTGGATCATATACAATGACATTTTATTGGTTAATATTATATTATCCCGCTTCGTGTGCACACACTGACCAGACACAATTTATTAAAATGCAGACAGTGTCACACTTAACTCATGTTAAGGTTATTTATATATTTCTATTGTTTGATTCTTATGATAGAGTGTGAGAAATGGACATATTTTATCATCTCGTTGAGAGAAAAAAATAATAATAAATAATCTGAATAGCTGTCACAATCACAACATTTCTTGAATATGAGCCACAGCCAGTGAAATAAGCGGCTGTAATAACAACGTGAGAGAATATTCAATATATTCAGTCAATATTTCATTGTTTTCAAAACCATTTTGGTTTAGAAAAGGTCACAAAGTCATAAAATATAGAAAATGAAATATGGTATTGAAATTATACCATATAATTGGTATATTATCTGCTAATTAAAGCACAGTAAAATGAGCCAATCGCAACTGCTCAAAATCCTCATTTACATATTAGGGCTGTGCAAAAAATCGAATGCGATTTTCATGCGCATCTCGTCAGTAAAGCCGCTCCTGTGATTAGAAGTAAATCTAAAGTGCGAGAAGGCTCACTGGGGGAAACACATACTTGCGTAGGCCCTGCGGCCAGCTGTGTGCCAGTGCGTCTGTGCCGAGTGTTCCCTTGGTCAGGGAGTAGAACAACTGGCAGTGAGAGGTTTCTGGAGAAGCAAACAGGTCTACCTGAACGGCTCCGAAACGTCTCCAAATCAGCTGGTAAGCCAATCGTCTAGATAGTTGAGAACGTGAACACCCCGCTCTCTGAGGGGAACAAGAGCTGCCTCTGTGACTTTCGTAAAGACACGGGGAGACAGGCACAGCCCGAAGGGCAGGACCTTGTCCTGATATGCCCGTCCTTCGAACGCAAACCGCAGAAATGGTCTGTGGCTCGGAAGGATCGACACATGAAAGTACGCATCCTTCAGGTCGATCGCTGCAAACCAATCTCGGGGACGGATGCACCCCTCGGCTCCGAAGCGAAAAGCTGGTATGCATTGCACCTGCTGCCTTATTATACTCACGCTGTGATCAGCGGCAGCTGGATGCAATAATTGCATGCCAATGTGCATTGGCTCGTTTAGTTTACACTCGAAGTAGATTGGTCTATCGAAGCGATATCCCAATTCGTCGGTCACCGACGTGACTCGGAGTGACCGACTGAAAGGGAACCAACATTTACACATTTACGGGCTGACTGTGTGCAATGTCTCGTCTATAAATTTGCTGCTAGCAAACCAGTTACAGAACTGTCCTATATCAAACATTGCCAGAACAGAAAATGCAAGTTGACAGAAAAAATATATCAAATGCATGAGGGGATCCCTGCTGAAAACACAAGCTTAGACCACCATGCATATCCAAACTGGTTTATGCTGGTTTAATATTGGTCTATGCTGTTTACCAACAAATCTTGACCAGCATGTCCAGCAAGCCCATGTTTGAGAACCGGCATCCAAAACTTATGATGCCATAAACAATGCTGGAGTTACTGTTGAGTTCAGTTTGAATTCCCACTTGTTTCAAATATAATAGAATGTAAATATATGTGGACATCAGAAAAGAGGATTTCAGTATAAATGTTGTGGCCTGCAGTGTCCCATTTTAAAGCTCAAAGGTATGAAGATCCCTCTTCAAAAAGCCTCTCAACAAAACCTCAAAAAAGCACATTGAGCTGCCCTTCAAAAATCCCTTTTCTAAAGCATAACAGTCACTCACCTGTGCTGTCCTCGTAAACCACAGTAACAGACTTCCATTTGTAGAAAATGACAATGTCCAGGATAGCCCTGCTTATGGAGGTGTACTCAGGGTAGAGGTTAATGTAAAAATTGTCCTTATTGTTCACAGACGGGTGTTTCCAGCGCGTCTGGATGTGCGGCACCTCTAGGGCATTGCAAATGGATTGGACGGCACTGACCGAGGAGCTGTGAGAGGGGCCGAAGACCGCTGCGACCCCCAGGGCCAGCTGGTCGCATACTGAGAGAAGAAAAATGGAGAGAATGAACAGACAGGAGAAGAAAAACATTTGACATGAAAAAATATGTGGTGGTATGAAAAAAAGAGAAGAGAAAAGCATAGAACAAAGCATGCATATAATAAAAACAATAGTCTAGCCTTGTTAGTTCTGCTAAGTTTTTATTACATTAGATCATAATGGCATTTTCCATGGTAATTGTTGGTGTATAATTAATTAGAGGTACAAAAAAATATTTTTTTTTTACAAAAAAATATTTTTTTTTGTTTGTTGTTGTTGTTGTTGTTGTATATGTTGAATTAAATAGTTCAAAACATAAAATTAACAAAGTAGCTAACATCTGCCCCTTAAAATAGTTATTTTGGACTGTCCAAAATCAGAGGAATTGACTTTTTCAACTGTATTTAATTGATAATCAATTAATAATAAAATATTTATGTTTAATAAATAACTACAAACCAAGAAAATGTAGGCAATTTAGGCAATTTTTATAGAATAAAATCATAAAATAAATACAAAATATAAATAGAGTCATACCCCTTCGGGAGGCTTCAAAACTGTCAAAGAGGTTTACTCTCTGGATATCGTAGGTCAATGTGGTGTTTGGCATCAAGGTTCTGTTTCGGTTGATACTTGTAACTGCAAATTTAAAGGCGAGTTCATCAATGCTGACTGGTTCATTCTCCCGCGTCTCAAAGATGCCCCCTTCAATAAAAATAGAGAGACAAACAGCGTTAAGTAAAACTGTGCTTTCAAGTACAGTAGACGTCTAAAGAGGTGCTTATAAAGTCAAACACATTTAAAAACCAGTATGAAGCTAATGAATTAATAAAGTTAAAATCAATGCCCTAGTAACGTATAAATCTCATTAAAATCCAGTTCAACGCACTGGTGCCAAGATAATGCTAAATACAAACTGAATCAGATCCAAGCGAATGCTAAGGCAAACTGAAAAAAGATCAATCTAGCTTTTGATATTTATAAGTTATTTAAAAACACATAAAAAAAACAGTGCTTAGCTAAATATGCAATTTAAACATAAACTTAGTGTCCAGGTAATGGATAAGTTCCAGCTCCACACTAATTCAAAAACAGTTAAACAATAGTGCCAAACTAATGATGAATACAAATCAATTCCAAGTTAATGCATTTTTTAAAAAGCAGAACCCAGCTTTAGTTAGAAATACATGTAAAAAAACAGTGTCTAGGTAAATGTACAAATAAAATTAAAATTGGTGCCCTGGAAATTGATATGCTTCAGTTCCACACTAATTTAAAAGTAGTTACAAACATAGTGCCAAACTGATGCTAAATACAAATAAAATCCAAGTTAATGCTAAAGCATACTGAAAAACCAAAATCCAGCTTTTGTAAAATATATTTAAAGTCATCTGTCCACAAAAATAAATAAATAAATAAATACCTCTGCCAGAAATGACCCATTCATGCACATCCCAGCAAGAAAGGAACAAGTTGGCTAAAACAGGTAAATGCACACATCTATTTGACATATTACATTGTTGCCCTCGCTGTTCATCTAAGACAAAACTTAAGCCACATGTGAAGAATAAACTACTTTTCTCAAGGTTATTCTTTGCTGATCACTGTTCATGAATGATATTGTTTGTCAAACAGTTGACAAAGTTCATATTCTGTTAAATAATTTTCCTCCGTCCAGACCACACTGACGTTTGACACAAGTTGACAATTTAGGATTGCAACAACAGGCAGAGGCAGAGGTCTTGCTGCTCTTTATTAAATAACAGCCCATTCGAAAAGTCAGGTAGCCTTTGAGTATTTTTCACTTAAGCAAACATTGTCAGTACAGTCTGTAATAAAATGAAGAACAAAGAAATCAATTACAAGCAAAAGAACAAAGAGTGCTCAAAATTGTTTCTGTATCTAACTAATAAAAACAGTGAGCGTTTTTGTTAATGTTGCAATTTATTATTAAGAACATAAAAGACAGTGGCTTGTCTATTGCTAACGAGCACGTAAGAAATTAAACCAACCATTTTATGGATCTTAATAATTCATAAGAAAAACATACAGCAGATTACAATGGCTGTTTAACCTAGTATGAGATGGTGCATCTAAATGCCAATAGCAATATGTGATGTCATTCGCTTACAGGTTTCAGCAGGTTATTTAGCGATCCCATAACATTTAGAAAATCTGAAATGGCAAATCATGCAGATTTAGCCACTTAAGAAATTCAGACTAATTGGCCAACACCGCGTTTGACCTTTAACATGCCATTTTTAAATCCCGTCCCTTGCTGGCAGTGAAGCTTATTCTCAAAACTGCACACGGTTAATCAACATCATCTCTTCTTAATGATCACATGCAAATCAAACAATCATGAAGATCAAAACAGACCGTTCACACCTGCATCAGCAAATGATCATGGCCAAAACATGAGACTTTGTTACTGAATATGCCACTCAAGAACCAATTTAACTCAGTCGGGTGCAAAGTCAACATGACGTAAATGTGGCCAAGACTTTCAGTGGAGTATATCTCCAGAATTATGCATGAGCATCTGGTACCACACACATTGTTATGTCATATTACTTGTAACGCTGCAGATACTAGAACTACATATCATACGAATACAATGCAAAACGGCAAGATCCGTCTGGAGGACATCCACCTGAGATCAGACTCTATTCATAGACGGCCAACAAACAGGTCTCAGCAGGAAATAATGGGCCATTAACTCGCCAATAAACAGCCAACCTCCAACAGTGAAAGTGACAGATTGGCTCTTTAATGAAAAGACTGTGAATGAAGATAAGAATAATTAAATGGAAATGTTAATGTGTGTGAGATGAAGCTCATCAGAGTGTAGATACGAGCTTCTGTGAAACCTGGTCTCAGTGGCTTGTTTTGGCTTTTTGAAAGCTGAAATGGAATGAGCAGGACTTAAAGCCAAGCCAGAAAGTCCTGCTGTGGATAACACCGTGTGATGTTCAGATAGTCCCTCGGGGAGAGCGTGGACCGAGAGCTCCACACAGGGAGAAAGGAGAGGAGATTTTGTCTGTGAAAAACTGATTGCTTTCAGATGGTCAGACTGGGTCGGATTGGGAGGCTGGAGATGAGAATGAAGCCTGAAGCTTTTCTAGACGAGGCAGATGCACTAACATGAAGGAGAGTTGATAACAGTGAGTCCGGCAGCAAACAAGTCTCGGTTCATTTTTGTGGAAGTATCAGATCTATGGTTTTGCTATGTTTATTTACTCTTTTTCCACTATGACTAAGAAGTCTGATCCCTCATTGATCTTTTATTATCCTGGAAACACCAAATCCATCTAGCTTCACTTTTCCTTTAATTGGCACATTAAGAGTCAGCCATTGGAACTGAATAGATTTACAGTGTCTTTAAGACATCAGGCGGCATTAGAGTGGAATGAAAAAGCAGACAGAGTGGCATATAGACACTTTTGTATGTGTGCGTTGGCGCTGTGATGGTTACTTGAGCATGCTTTAATGCTTTATTTCTATTCATTGGAAAATGGTCCCTTAGGGATGTCCAAAGCCTCTGCCATTCACCTTGGAGACCGCAACTTTAATGAATCCATTTTCTATCATGATGTTTGTGTCATTACATGCATTTCGCCCTTGTGATAATAAGTTAACAAGAAAGTTATGGGCTTTGGATCTATATGCTTTTATGTTGAGGCAGAGCTTTGCATATTTTTATGATTTAAAAAATATTCTCTTAATACTTTATTTCACATCAAGGACCATGTTCTTCTCAAAAGGTAACAAATTGAAAGAAAATATAAATGCATGACAGGGTTATTATTATAGTTGACTAAAATAAAATAACTTATTTTAAATCAGGTATTTAACAAGGCAACATTTCTCATTTTCAATTAGTTTAACTTGATGTACTAACATATCTCAAACTTAAAAATGAATAAAAAACTATAGACATTTAAAAATAACAAAAACATTCTATATAGACATTTAAAAACAAAAAATGACAGGAACACAACAAAAAACAAAATTACTAAAACATTAAGTAAAATTAACATGAAAGCAGAACATAAAAAAAAAATCTAATTTAAAATAATAACAAAAACTAGAATAGTATCTCAATTATACTAAAACAACATTTATACTAAAACATATGTGGCCCTGACTGTGGAAACCCAGCTAAAGTAATTTTTTTGTGATTTACCGTTTTCTACATAAAAGCATTCTTCATAAGGTAAAGAACATTGTGTGAACATTTAACCTTGATATCTTTAATATTGACTGAGTAAGGCCATGTCAAAAATTATGAAATTAATGTTGAAATCAAACTTTGATGTTTGTTATCTCATGATTAGATTTTGAGACTTTAGCCTGGATTTCACAGAGAATATATATATATATATATATATATATATATATATACATATATATATATATATATAAAGCATTCTGCAGATCTTCTGACCACAGAAACATTTTAGTGTCAATTAGTTGTCTAGGTAATAAGGAACTTCTTACATTTAAATTCCATTATAATTACTATTCTCATAGGCTTTCTCCGTTACGCTTAGTCTATTTGACCTTTAGAAATATTAATCATGGTTTTACCACAAATAAAACAAAAAAAAACATGGTTACTACTAGTGTTGTCATGGTACCAAAATTTCAGTATTCAGTACCAATACCAGTGAAAATCCAAAAAACGGGTGCGCGCAAGAACTTCTCCGGAGTTCTACTGTCATGAATCCGGCCCGTGGCTCTTCCGTCCGATTGCCACCAGAGGTCACTCTCCCATTATACTGACTCTCACACCACACAGACTGTTACACATCACCCTGGACTGCATTTCCCATCAACTCAGAACCTGCTCAAGTCGCCGAGTATTGTTTAGCGTTTATTGCTCACCTAGTGATAGCGGCATTACGGAGCCAGTTTTATGCCCAAGTTTCTAGTTCATAGTTTCTAGTCTAGTCTTGTGTTCGCCTGTTACCTGATTCTTGCCTGTGTATCTTGGATTAACTCTTTGCCTTGCTGTTTCGGACTGTGTTTGCACCTCGCCTGGACTTTGCTCATGTCATTGGATTACCCCTCTTGTCAAGCCCTCTGGATTTTGTTCTCCGATCAAAGACCCACGCTTGCCCTAGGAATACTCTTGTGTCTTGCCCTCTACATATCTGTTTGCTGCTGTTCGACCCTGCCTGTTTCTGACCATGTCTTTGAATAAAGCTTCGCATTTGGATCCGCACTTCTCTCGTCTCGTCGGCTCCGTCACATCTACATTATCAACCCATACACGTTCAGTGACTGCTAGCTGCATTGCACGTGGAGCTGTAATGTTGGCTATCATTAAAAGTATATGAATGGCAGCAATACTGGTGTATTTATGCAGAATAGTGCAAGCAGCACTACACACCCACATGAAAACAGCAGCACAACCGGTGTTTATCATAGCAAAAGCAGCGTATCATATGAATTCTGTGAGCGGAGGATAATAGTGCCGGAGTTTATGCGGTTAGAAAAAATCTCTAGCACTAATTCTGATCATGGCTTGTCTTGAACATGGCAAACTAGCGATCAAAGACTACAGATTTTAGGCTATTATAAGAATCTTTTGGATTTTCAAAATGAAGACAGTTTGACGTTTGTCGTAGGAGATGTCACACTGCAGGACTGTGTGCCAAATATTCTGACGCTGCCAGAAGTTCGTCGGAGGTAAAATTTGATCGCAACGGTCATTAATCGGCTGTCGGTGAACATGTCAAACTAACGATCAAAGACTACAGATTTTAGCCTAGGATTATAGGAATCTTTTAGGAATAATCCTAAATTTGTCTCAGACGACCAAATTGTGGCCAAAATCGCACAGTGTGAGCCGGGCTTAAGTGAATAAAATAGCCTTGACAGACTTACTTACTGGAGTTCCACAATTATTGATTTTGTTCTCTCTCACTGGACTTGTGTGTATGTGTAGGTGATGTAAAAGAGGAAAGCAGGCATTTGGACCAAATCACTGAGGCAAGGGAGGGGGAGACTCAAAATGTTTCTAAACTTAAAACGCATTTTGCCCCGTTTGTGTTGTTTTACTACTTACACTATTATTTAAAGTATAAAACATTGTTATTTACAATACACAGCGTGGTTTTTAATCATATTTTTAAGGGGGACAACTCTGTCCCCCCTGTAAGGATGGATTTGACCAAAACTGAATCTCAATCAGTCATGCTTATTTGACAAATCTATTGTTTCAAGCTGTTTTATGTGTGGTCAATATAAATACTTCAGGTGCGACTGGTAAGGTGGTTTCACTCTCGCATCAACAGAATTGATGCCAGAACAGGCAAAGAAGAAAGAAAACAAAACCTGGGGCCATATGTATAAAGCCGCTCAGAGTAAAATTTTAGTCCTAAGTGTGTCAAAATTCTAAGAATGACGTAATTTTACTCTTATTCCTAGACTTAAGAATAAGAGTGATTCATAAAGGTTCCTAAGTGTTAAAAGAGGTCTCAGCTCCTAAATTATTTAATTACTGGAGTTCCACAATTATTGATTTTGTTCTCTCTCACTGGACTTGTGTGTATGTGTAGGTGATGTAAAAGAGGAAAGCAGGCATTTGGACCAAATCACTGAGGCAAGGGAGGGGGAGACTCAAAATGTTTCTAAACTTAAAACGCATTTTGCCCCGTTTGTGTTGTTTTACTACTTACACTATTATTTAAAGTATAAAACATTGTTATTTACAATACACAGCGTGGTTTTTAATCATATTTTTAAGGGGGACAACCCTCAGATGGGGGTCTTGTCCCCCCCAACCCTCCCAGGATTTCTGCCTATGTATTCATTATCGATTATTAGCTGTTTTGTCAATATCTCATCACTACCCCAGTTCAATCTATAGTCTGGCAGAGAGTATATAGCACATCCCCCACAACAGCTGAAAATTTCCCCAGTGGACAATTCATTTATGCAGTTCACATAAGTTTAATATGGAACATGTCCTGTCTCCTCCCAGAACCTGTGTGGGTGACAGGTGACACTTTGATAAGATGGCGCCGACGCTGATGGCTGCCTCCGTGGCGTGCGCAGAATGCAGTATGCAATGCCTCCCCTCTGGCTTTGATCAGCAGACAGTTCAAAGACTCCCAGTGCTGGTCCTAGCAAATGCTAAGCATGTTTTAGCAGGCAACACAAACTCCAGTGGTTGGCTACAAGTAGTAGCTGCTGCTATAGGCAGGGGTGCACATAAGTTTTTCAGCCTGGTTCTGAAATGAGAACCTGGAGATTTGGTTTGGTCCTCACACGGCGGCACATGGTGTGACCCATCAAATATAACTATAAAACATTTATTAATAATAGTGATAATATTATTGCACTTTTAGTTTTTTTTTAAATAAAATAATAAACTAAATAAAGTATGATACAACTATTTTATTTTAAAATAAAAAGGAAGTATTAAATACAAATACAATTATTTTATAGTAAACTTAAAAATAAAATGCTAATATATTTTTTACATTTTCATTATTATTATTATTTTAATTTGAACCTTAATTATTATTTTTAATTTGATTTATTTTAATTTTTCAATTTCAAACTTAAAATCAGCAAGCTTTTATTTTGGCGGGTTGCCGACAAGTAAGTATATGCGCTTCCGGGTTTAGCGCTGCCAATTGTAGTAGAGCGTCAGTGAATGAAATGTCACAGTTTTGCATTCTGCTTGAAAAAGTTAGCCTAGATTTATGCTTTCAGTTTGAATAGAAATCTTATACAGTACAGTTTGTCGATCTAAAATGGTAATTGTGCATTAACAGCTGTCAACCATGTCGGTACGCAAACGCGCGCTCTGAACTCATTTACACAGCGCATTTCTTATTTTGGTTGCGCATGCGTTCCTGCGGACCACTTATGTCCACTTATGACTCCCAAATATGAACGAGGGACCTGCATTCTAAAATTTAAAAGGCAGGTATATATTTTTCATGTACCATATAAAGACCCAATTTATACTGAGCAAAAATAATCGAGTTCGATACTTTTTAGGCACCGACCGAAATGCCTCGATACTATCGAGTATCGAAAAACGTCTCATCGTTCGGTACCAAATTTCGATACCTAAGGGGTTAATCTCATCAGTGTCAGTGAGCCAATAAGCCTGCAGCATTAGCCGGTGTGTTCGACTAGAAGAGGTGCGGTGCAGATCGATCACTGTTTGACATCCGCGAGAGCGATTCGAAAGCGCACGGAGCAGTCTGCTCTCTTAATTATGCGAATGCATCCCAGCCACCTTAGATGTAAAGCTACATTTACACTGGTGCGTTTATGTTTTAAAATGAAAACGATCCTCGTCATACTGGCGTTTCAAGCTGGCTTTCCACTATCTCCAACCAACAGACCGGTCATTCAGTCATTCATTTCCAATGGAGAGTAACGCGGGAGCTGCGTGGAGTTCTGATCATATGCAGATGTCCGTTCATACTACACGACCGAAAGCGCGTGTTATGTGACCATTCATGCAAACTGTAGCATCATGCTACATAAGACAATAAATAAGAATCGAAAATTTTTGAACGATACCCAGCCCTAATTATAAATAGGTAATAATGTGTAAAATAATATTTGGAAAATATTTAGTTTCTATTACATTTTCTTCATTATTACTATTATTACTTATTATATATTATTACTTTTTTCTACTAATTGTAGTACCCTGCTGTTAGAAGTATTCGATATTCGTGTATTTATTTTAATAATTTTTTATCTTTTTTTTTTCATTTTAATCCATATTATATTTTATTTACCTTAATCAATTATTGTATCTTACTTTAACAATTTACAATTTATTGCAATTTATTTATTTATTTATTTTTTTACACTTTATATCTAAACTTTTCCACAGACCCAAGTTTGAAAACCCCATCAACAGGCAACATAGTGCAGACCACAAATATCACAGTATAAATTGTAAACATGCAAGTAACTTTTAAAGGCCTAATTTTACTGTCAACAAACACTTGAGTGGAAATATTTGCTTCAGATTTTTTCTTTCATTAAAATTCTGCACACATAAATAACAATCCTACAGAGGTTAGGTAGTTTGCACATTTAAATTGACGTAAATTAGCTGAATTATGGGTAATTGTCACCATTCCCAGACTGTGCTACTGGATGCATTGTCTTTTTTCTTTTTTAGCTCATAAGGTCTTTGTGTCTCTTTCTCATTCTTGTACATTTTATGCATTCTCATTTTCCCTAGGAACTGGATGATGAAGGAAACAGCAGGTCTTTTCATTCATAAAATACTGGAGTTTTAGAAAATAGCTGTAATATATACCCTAATAAAAATGTGTGCAATTATAGTCAAAAGATTTTCTTTAACATTTCTTTATAGTCAAAAGCATTTCTTTAAAATTTTACCAAAATTAACATCTCTAAGGCCTTTTGGAGATTATGTCTGAATGCAGCCCTTGAAATGCTCTTGGTCTTTAAGTGCCTTTATTTTTTCCTCAATTACTGAGTTCAATGAACTTCAATGAACTGGAGACGATTAATCCCTAAGACATGAAATAAAAACAAAATGGCACTGAAAGTGACACCACGTCTAAAACACATTCTCTCTGATTAAGTACCTTTTTAAAATAAGTACATACCTTGTCACCATTAAAAAAGTTCCATATAGTTTGAATTTGTGTCATATACATGTAATTCTGACATACTATATTCATCATGTTGTTATAGTCCTGTGACCTACAATAGGATGATTGCTGTAATATTGTTATCAACATGGAAGATTTTACATTTTAAAACTCCATTGGATCAGTATAATCAATTACAATCTAATGTTCAGTCACATGAATATGCTACTAGACGAGCAACAGAGGGTAGATTTCTACTCCCTAATGCTAAAACTAATTTTCTTAAACGTACAGTAACATTTAGGGCAATGAAATCATGGAATCTTTTACCATTGTCATTAATTAGGATAACACGGAAAATTGATTTTAAAAGGCAGGTAAAGGCACACCTTGGAATTCTGTACTTATAGGAGGTTGAGGTATAGGAATTAGGTGAATAAGTAATATGTTTTTATATAGTAGGTGTTATAGATATTAAAAGGGTAGAAGAAATGTTTATAGAGATGCTTTGGAATGTGGAGAATGTATTTAACTTTTAAATGTATGTAATAATGTATGAATGTTAAGTGTTGTGTGGACCCCAGGAAGACTAGCAATGCCTTAGGGCATAGCTAATGGGGATCCAAATAAATAAACAAACAACATTAGTTGTGCTGCTATTCACAACTCCTCTTCTGTGGCCTAATGGGATACACACTTCAGAATCACATGAATCTCATGAAGATCTCAAGAAATAGTAGGCCATCCAACCCTCTACGCACACCTTTGCAATATAATCGCCATTGGCTAGTAAATTTTTTTGTTTACTCGCCAGACTGATATTTACTGATAGCGCTGTGTTTCTCACACATGCCAAGAGAGAGAGCGAGAGTCTTGCATACCATGCTGAATCGACGCGCTACAATAATTCTAAATGAACTGTTATTTTGACAGGAAAATACAACAAAGAATATGGTTTACATGTAGCGCGTCGATTCAGCATGGTATGCAAGACTCTCGCTCTCTCTCTTGGCATGTGTGAGAAACACAGCGCTATCAGTAAAGCGATGGCGAGTCGTGTGCCTTCACACTAGTTTACGGTACGTCAAATACAGGTGCGCTGCGTGCTACATACTGCGCATCCATTGAGTACATGACATGATCCATTGAGCGCATCCAAATAGTACAGATCGCTTGATGGAGAGCAAAACTCTCAAGCGCTCAGTCGTGTTTATCGAGTGAAAATCTGTGTTGAACGCCTCTCACACACATACTGGCTTGTAAAATCTAAGAATTTATTAGCCAATGGCTAATGTTAGACATTATTTAGTCGCCCAGAGTAAGATTTAGTCGCATTTGCGAGTGATTTACTCGCAATGTAGAGGGTTGCCATCTGGGCACTTTTCCCTAAATACAGTAAATTCAGACATACTATTTTTTCACATGTTGTTTCTTGTCTGTTATACAATAGGGACATAGTGTATACACTCTAAAAAATGCTGGGTTGTCAAATATGGACTAACCCAACTGTTGGGTTAAATTTTGGTTACATTTTTAAATTAACTTTTTAACCCAACAGTTGGGTTAGTCCATATTTGACCCAAAATTGGGTTGAAACAACCCAGCATTTTTTAGAGTGTATGGTAGGGTTGGGCGATGTCTAGCAAATTGGCATCGGGCGATGTCTACAGTGAAACACGTGATGGACGATGTCATCGGGGGGCGGGGTTAGGGGGCGTGCCCGAAGCATGAATCCGTATGCAGAAAGGCACAGAAAACAAATAACGCGTTCTACGGAGCCACTAAAGGGACATGGTTAGCCGCTTGCTAGCGGTAGACTGTTACATTACAGTACATGAAAGTTCACTTACACAGAGTAAGAAGAGATGACTGATAGGACAATGGCGAATGATTTGCAGATACTGAGCACCACTGACAGATATCTAATCTTGTAAAATGTGTGGTAGGTACTGCCGCTCCGCAGTATAGAGTCCGTGTGATTGCGAATCTCGAAAGTGAAAGTAAAAAAGAGAGCGCTCATTCGAAAGCGGTTTCAATGCCCTGCATATTAGTAGCGGCTCCCTGATGGCCGCAATTTATATACTAGGGCTGTGCGATATTGAAAAAAAATGCGATATGCGATACCTTCTTAAAAAATGCGATATTGCTTAAAGTGTGTAAAACCAATTTAAATGATATTTTAAAATATTTAAAAATGTTTACTATTAAAAATATTATATAACCAATTTGTTTCACATTCTTTCTTGGAAAATAAAGAATCACTATAACTTCTGAAAGTGACCAGCATTTCGATAATTTCGATATATCGTGCAGCCCTATTATATACAATATAATTACTCAACGATATAATTGCGAGAGAAAGTATTGAAATATATATCTTTTTATCCTTCCATCTCATAGGCTATTTATTCCCTTTTGGGGTTCCGTAGTACACTTAATTTCCTTTTCGAACATGGAGTTGGGATGTGGCGGATTGCGGGGGGTATGGAGGGGGGAATCACGATGCCGGCTCAACATCGCGATGTCTGTCAGCCATCGGCGATGGACGATGGCATCGTCTATCGGCCCAACCCTAGTATATGGATGTAGCCCAAATCTTTTGGCACACAATAAGAATATTCAGTAAATTTTTTTGAGTCTTCTAAAGTGCATTTGACCTTGTAATTCCATGAAGGATCTCAAATTTTCTCTGTGGTTTCAGTCAGGTACTGTTTTTCATTCCCCACCCCCGGATCATTCCGGGAGATGTTCGATTGATGCTATTCAGTGTTACATATCTGTCAGCTCTAACAATATATCATTGTCATCAACCGCACTGCTCTTACCCAGACAGAATGCTCCGCTCAACGATCAGTCCTAGAATTAAACTTTACAGTAAGATCACATGTAATGTTTATCCAGCATCCACTTTTTTGGCAAAAGAACAACCAATTTCAACAGTTTATAAAAGAAAATATTTCACAAATGCAGAGGGCAGAATGTGGCTGATTAATATAATGCATTGTTATATGATTAAAATCAATATTTAATGTTGATGATGGGTTTCACTTTTGCTCCACTCAATGTAATTATTCATATTTAAATCAGATAAAGGGGTCATATGATGCGATTTCAAGTTTTCCTTTCTCTTTGGGTGAGTTCAAGATAAGTAAATTTTTGTTCAAATTTCTCTGGATCTTCTTCATCACAGTTGTACTGAACACCTGATGGCCTGGATACATGGAGTTTGTTTACTAACTGCTAAATGAAACGGTTTGTTTATCTTGTTGTGATCCTTTTCGTCTGTTTATCTCTATTTCACGCTGCATTGCACTGTGACCGCTAGCTGTCTTGCTGTCACGACTGGATTGTGATGAACACAGAGGCATTTTGTGTGTCATGGTTTGTTTCGTCATTCCAGTAGGGACTGCCTATTTGCATATTTAATTTTTCCACTTGGTTTGCTTGTTTTGTTTAGTTGTTTGTTTAGAGCACTGGCTGAAAGCACTATATGAAGTATAATTAGTAACTTGCTAATTGCATGACACGGTTCGTGATCTTAACATGGCAGCGCTCATAAGGGAGTGACCCACTCCACATAAAATAAAACAGGTTTTCTATTGATATGACATATTCACAATAAAATGGAAGTAGCATCAAATCTTTTCTTCCATATTGTGACGTACATCCAAACAGATAATCGAAAAAGAAAAAAATGTAGGCCAAAGACTTGGTTCCATCAGTTATCGATTGGATAGAGGTCAATCTGAATAGCCTAAGAGAAGATGGTGCCCATAGAGTGCAAGGTATTTTTGCCACGTTATAGGCCTTGAACAGTTAAATACTTGCATGTGACAAAATGCTCGTCTTTACAAGTATCCTCATAAATACAGTAGGTCTTAAGTGAAAGCAAACGGCTGAGAAAGAAAACACATGTATGCTATATTGGATCCGGGCAGCTCTTAAAGTGAAAGGAGTCTTATATTTCTGCTGTCTGTCATTCATGTTAATTAAGCAAAAAAGAGAAAATCTCTGAAAATCTGTTTTTGACTAAATCACTTTTGTAACTTTAATAAGAAGAAATATAGCTGCAAGCAGTTCAAGTGTTTAAGGCATTTAAGCACATAAGGAAAAAGACATTACACATTACACATTATTTAGCAAGCCTGTAACCACCTTAGTCAATGATTAAAAAAGCATTTTTGACAAATCAAGGAAATTTACCATAGAAATATGTTTTTTGACGTTTATGACGTTTATGCTTCTTTAGAATCACCTGTCACATGTGCTCACCAGGTTTCGTGAAGTTTTGAGTTTTCCTTTAGGCTTTATCGGATTTGGGGTAAATTTGGACAGGCCTCTATTCTAAACGACCCTGTTATAGCTTCCCAAAGGGTAAATTTCAACATGTTTTTGATAATTATTGACCTAGAGAGTCCAGAGAATTGTACTTTTTTTTTTTTCCAGATTGAGCGAAAAACCTAGGACTAGTTCGCAAAAGTTTTTTTTTTTGTTTTTTTTTGCATCTTCTCAATTATTTAACAAACCGTTTGATTGACAGCAGTGGTTCTAGAGGCAAAGTTGTCCGGAATGAGGAGTTCTATCGTATGATACGAACATCATGATTATGTGCGAAAAATCATGCAATGTTTTTTGAGATATGCAAATGTCCTTGTAGACACTTGTGGCACTTTGGACCAAGGCCGTCCACAAGTGATTTTCATGTTGATAGGGCAAATGGTTAACTTGCAAACTTTACTGGTTATGGCAATTTTTATGTTTTTTTTCCACCTTACAGCGCCACCAAGTGGCCAAGCTCTGCAATTTGTTTCCTGTGACCTCAGATTGAGCTGAGTGTTCTGAGTTTGGCAAAGATATCTCAGGAGTTATAGGCATTTTACTAAAAGTGGCCCTGCCCCTTTGGAACGTTTTTGGCTCCACTTTGCAACGGCAAGTCGAAAGTTAAAATTTTTTGATAATTATTGATATTCACTCTCCAGAAAATCTTTCTTTACTGGTTTGGATCTGATCGGGCGAAAAACCAAGGACTAGTTCACAAAAGTATGTTTTTCAAAAAATCCAAAATACGCATTGGCCATTCTAACAATTACAATAGGGTTTCACCGCTACGTGCTTGAACCCCTAAATATATATTTAATTTACACAGTGAAGAATATGCAGTGGTTTATACATTTGATTACTTCATACAATGTACGTAGCATTTCGCATTTACCTCTATTTGTTCTACTGTAGTTTTTTCCTATTGCTTGTAATTAGTTTCTTATTCTTATTTAATTGGTGACTGTTTATGTGTCATCAGTGAGCTTGAGTTTTGTTTTGTTTGTTTTTGCCTATCATTACGGTGAAATAAAATTACTCGTATCGTGATATGAATGTTGCAGGATTTACTTTAAAACATTTTTTAAAACAGAAATTTCTAGTAAATTTTACATATAATTACAAAGAATGGCAATTAACGCATTGAATGAAACATTATATTTTGAAAGACTGAAATAGTATTTTCTTGTAAAACTCCAATAATCTGTTTTATTTACAAGTTTGAAAAATACGGATAATATCCATTTCATTTCATGTTAAAAATCACATTTGTACATTTGAACAGTAACTTTAATAGAAAAATTGTAAATCATATGTTTCTCAAAAAATTTCAGTTAAAACAAATTACTTTCAAAGTTCAACACTTTGCTACGAATATTGTGGCTCTTATGATGAAATGTTCCTCACTTGTAAGTCGCTTTGGATAAAAGCATCTGACAAATGAATAAATACAATGTACACAGTTCTTGATTAATCAAGGTCATGAGTCTAGAACCTTTCTAATACACAAATGCCCACAACAACAAATGCATGCATGCACACATACAAACGCATACACAAACCTGCACACAAGTGACTGCTGAATAGTCAGGTCATCTCGGACACAGTCTTTTTCTTTCTGTCTGTTCTTCTTTTCAACATTTCTGTCACTGTCTATGATATATTCCACGCACTCCTCATAAAGACATCACAATGATTTCTGCAAACACACAGGCCAAATGCATCATCAAAGAAAAAGCCTTCTTTCTCATTCAAATTCATGAAATCTTGTTCAAACATCCCTTCTGACAAACACAAGAAAACACAAAGGGATAAGGAGTCAGCCTGCATACCAATGCTCTCGCAGAGAAAGAGCCAGAGACATTAGCTATTCTCCATTCTCTCCGCCACTGTGATCGAACCCTTTGATTTTCTCATGGGGCCCATTCTAAACACTCAAATTCATTTATTGTTATTTCAAGCTCAATCTATAAGACGCTCAATAAAAGTGAGTATGTTCTGATTCAAATGTTTACAACCTACATTAGTCGTTAATTATTTAACAAATACTTCGTAAAGTGTTCAAAAAGATGCGTCTTTGGGAACCTGGGCCCGTATTTATCAAGCCTCTGAGAATTACTCTCAAGAACGCTGCTAAGAATTGACTTAAGTGTAAAAAAATTATTGGCTCAAAGCTGCGCTTAAAAGTTAGTTATCAAGCATCTCAGTCGTAATTTAAGCGAAGTGTAGGACTAAATCTTAAGTGTCAGTCTTAGAGTTGATTCCAGACACTTTGATGTGCCACAAATGGGGATTTTGGATGACGAAATACGCATGGACCAATCACTGAATAGATTTCCGTATTTAAGAATATTCTCAGATAAATTCACATTAAATGGTTAAATTCCTAATAGGAGTTTACATTCAACACACATTTGACAATAAAGAATTTTCAAGAGAATACATTATGGTAAGGAAACAAATCGTCTTCACAACCTTAATTTAGGGTTGTGCCGGTAGACGATAGTATCGTGTATTGACGATAGTCAGAGATATCGCCTGTGGCTGATTTCTTTGATGACAGCAAGACGATTATTATTATTATTATCCGTCAAAAATATAGGCACCTATCTTTAGTGATGCAGCGCGGAGAGCCTCTTCAGAAACTGGTGAGTAGCCATGATCAGCTCCGGTGGCCATGTCGGAGCCGTAACGCGCCGCAGACGTGTGCATGCAAATAAGGGGTAAGAGATTTATTCATTATACAGTGTAGGTAGCTTCACTGATTATAACGGGAGTGTTTTTAAAGTTTAAAGAGCATAATACTCATGCTAGACTGAAGTCAGATATGATGTTCTTTGTTAATGTAAATATTCTTTGCTCATTTCTGTTTGAATAACTGAGGAAATGTAACTGTTTTAATAACTGCTCGTCATCAAACATTTCAAGAACATTCTTCTTCTCCTGAAAGATTCGTGCACGTCTCTGTCTCCTCAGCGCCATCACAAGCCCCTACTGGCAACTCCTAACCACTTGAGAGACCTCTCGAGCTGTCTTAAATAACTGGGAGAGTAAGAGTGATTCTTAGCTTTAAGAAATTTGATAACTTGCTTTTATACTTAAGTTTGAAAGTAGGAGTAAATTTAATGAATTCTCAGCACTTAAGACTAAAATGGCACTTTGAGAAGCTTGATAAATACGGGCCCAGGTTCACCATAGCCGTACAGACTTTTAGGGAAATTCTGCTGACGGTCAAAGAGCAGTGCCATTTCACAGTGCTGAACATACATCTGAGGCCACATGGATCCAAATCTAAAAGGATTAATTTCCCCTCATAGCCTGTGAAATACTTCCACCAGCACTGCACATTCTCTCAGTCAACATTGTGATAATTCCAGAGCCCAGAGATTATTTTAAACCACTCTCAGGAATGAGCTGATGCAGCTCTATATCACAACAAAATATTCTCTAAGATTTTAAAAACAGTAATTTGTGCAGAGTTGGAAAATAATTATAAGATTTATAGAGATATTAAACAAGAACGCATGTGGTAATGGTCTTGCCCAACACAGTTGGACCAAAGCCCGACACTAACAAAATTGCTGCCATACGGTCACAAAATCTGTGCTAGTAACCAGAGGGATGATAAATGGCATCAGCAGACATCCTATATAGGACACATTTATGATTTAATTTTCGGGGTAGACGAGTAAACAAATTTTGTTTTTTTCCTTCATGCTGAAACTTTTAGATGACTGTATCGAACCACTTACTTGCATTGGCATTGTCTTGGACCACTGGCATGACGTAAACGCAGTTTACAGTTATCGTGCTATTGTAGAAATGTGATCATTAATTAAAGCCACGATAAAGCCATTATTTATTTAGTATTTGAAAGTATCTGATAATATAGGGGTTAGATAAATAAAGCAAATATTCAGCTTGTCATGTGTTCTCAAAAAAATTGCGGCTGCCATACTCCATGTAAATTAAAACAGCTTTTATTATGTTACCGCATACACACAAAAAAATTGGTTCTTCAGCAGTTATTTGGAGTGGTTAATATAGCACCACTCCCATTCAAAGAACCCGTAGGGTTAGTTCACCCAAAAATGAAAATTCTGTCATTAATTACTCAACCTGTCATTCCAAACCCATGAGATCTTTGTTCTTCTTCAGAAAACAAATTTAGATTAAAACAAATGATACAAAATTTTACAAATGATACAAATTTTACAAAAAGTATTCTCATAGCTTATAAAATTACGGTTGAACCACTGATGTCACATGGACTATTTTAACGATGTCCTTACTACCTTTCTGGACCTTGAACGTGTCAGTTGCATTGCTGTCTATGCAGGGTCAGAAAGCTCTCGGATTTCAATAAAAATATATTAATTTGTGTTCCGAAGATGAACGAAGGTCTTACGGGTTTAGAACAACATAAGGGTGAGTAATTAATGACAGAATTTTCAGTTTTGGGTGAACTATGCTTTAAAGCCCCTAGCTAATATGTGACCCTGGACCACAAAACCAGTCATAAGTAGCACTGGTATTTTGTTAGCAATGGCCAACAATATATTGTATCGGTAAAAATTATTGACTTTTCTTTTATGCCAAAAATCATTAGGATATTAAGTAAAGATCATGTTCCATGAAGATATTTTGTAAATTTCCAACCGGAAATATAACAAAACTTAATTTTTGATTAGTAATATGCATGGCTAAGGACTTCATTTGGACAACTTTAAAGGCGATTTTCTCCATATTTTGAATTTTTTTTCACCCTCAGATTCCAGATTTCAAATATTTGTATTTCAGCCAAATATTGTCCTATCCTAACAAACCATACATCAACGGAAAGCATATTTATTCAGCTTTCAGATGATGTATAAAATGATGTAAAAATTTATTTCACAAAACCCTTATGACTGGTTTTGTGGTCCAGGTCACATATAGTTCTGCAAAGGTTCTCTAACTCTCTGGACTTTCTGACCTCAGAAAAGCATAAAAGTGATTCAAAACAGCTTTTGCTATTGTAGTAAATTCCCCTTCATAACAAACATATAAGAGTGGGTTCCTCTTATGGTTCTACATGGCACCATTTGACAAAAGTGATTTGTAGCACCTATAAAGGTGGTTTCCCTATGATTACAAGCCAATGAACCACTTTTAGTGTTATTTAGCACCATTTTGAGTGTTTTAGAGTGTGATATAAGGATTTGTTTTTAAATAAAGTTCTATATTTTTAAAAATGCAATATTAATTTCTTAGATACATTTTTTAAATTATGGAAAATTTCTATGCAGTTATCAAAAAGTATGGGTTACCTAGATAAAGCAAATAGTATTCAGCTGGTCCTGAGATCTCAAAATGGTGGCTGCCACGCGACGGACCCACTACATGTAAGTTAAAACAACACCTATTACATCTCTGATATGGATATATTGTCATATCGGATTATCATAAAGTTTTTTGATAAATTTATCATATTTATAAAAATGTAGGCTAATATTCCACTAATCCACTTCATCTGTGATAAAGTATGCAAACATGACACAAACATCACTATGGGAAGCAGAAAGTATCCAACTTGATGTCTCAGTTTTCAACTCCTCCTTCAACTGCAACTAACTAATCGGTTTCATCCAGCTGCAGCCGAAGTCGAACACACTTAAAGCAAGTAGTATTCAGCTGGTCATGTGATCTCAAAGTGGTGGGTGCCTTGGGACAAACCTGCTCAAACTATTTTAAAACAGTAACAAGAGGTGCTTCAGTCGTAACTAACGTTAACACGGCTGTCATAATATGTTTTTATCAAAATGTGGACCTTTTTGAATTCTCAGAAATGATGGAAATTGAAAGTGTAAAACCAGAAATGCATCCGAACCATTGTTTTAGATTGTTACATCCCTCAAAATGGTCTATACAATTAATTTAGAGTCACTGAAAATTAAAATGAATAATTTTAAAGAGCAAACCTTGCAAATCTGGTTTTGTTCTGTATCATTCAACATCCATTTTTAGTTCACACTTTGCCCATAATCTGTGAAAAAGAAGCACTGTACCCTGTCGAGCAATGTTGACGTGAACATTTGTGAAAAGCTGAGGAATGTCAGTGTATCCATTACGACTCACTATTATGCAAACTAAGCCTACCATCACTCCATGTCTCCAGTGACTTATGCTTTAGATGCCAATCATAACATTCAGATGACAGATGGCAGTTGGGTGCACCTATATTTTCAAGAGCACACAGGGACAGTCTCCTGTATCTCCAGCCTGATTTACAATGTCCTACCAAATCCATGTGTATGTGTAAGGGTGTGAGTTTATCTAATAAAACGATTCATTGCTCCAACGCACATCCATCTTAAAGAAAGATCACTGTGTGTTCAAGATGACAGAACATCTGTAAACCAGATAAACTCTGACAAATGTCTCCGATAAAGAGGGTCCAAACATGGTGTGGGTGAAACAAGTCCCCTCAGGGAGAGAATTGATAAAATAACTGTGGAATCAATATAGGGCAGTCAGATGGTTACATCTGGGGCTAAAATACTCTTTCATTCTGTTCTATACACAAGTCCTAGGAAAAATGACCCACATCAAGAGTAGATCTATACAGTAAACTTAAATGTAGATAATTTCAATGTCTAGTTTATTTATGGATGGATGATGCATGTACATATGAACTATTATTTATACTATTAGTATTTCACAATCCACCCCATAGAAGCAATACGCCAAGCTTTCTGTTTCAACTGAAGTCCCATCATTTGGAGAGGAACATCAAATCAGTCTTGGGTAGGAAAGAGGATTAATGTAGGTTGTTAAAACTGCTTTGGGGATTTACCATGATGGCAAAGTCAGACAGCAGCAATCATCAGACCCTACTGTCCTCTATGTGACTACAGGACGCTTTATCTCAATAACACACAGAGGAGAGCCAGTGATCAAATCTCTCAAATCTCATTTCAGTGATGATGATGCTGATGGTTTAATATTAAATGAGGAATGCATTTATGGGTTGTTTACTTTCAAGATGTCCTGCCAACTACACTTCTTATGTAAAGAAAGGTCAACCCATTACAAACCCATGGGCCAATCCAAGGTCAACCCATTACAAACAATAATGTACCAAAGTAATGACCAAAGTGACTGATTCTTTGTTAATGATTTAATCCCATCTTGAGAAAGTTTTCACCATTAGTTAGACTTCTGTAACAAAATAGATTATTATAGTAGCTATATCAATGACAATGCTGATAATTTAAGTGAATATGCAGACCATATTCTACATGGATATGCAGATACGACAAATAAACGGAATGCATTTAGAGGTCATAAAAACATCAGATAGATGGTCTATTTTTAAACAAGCAATAACACTTCAAGTCGCTTAAAGAGCTGTGACGTGACAACAAAGACACTCGATGCTGAACAAACACTGAAAGTTTATGAATTAACAATAATTGCAGGTGACAATGAGGAGTCATGATAAACAATCACTTACCAATTCGTATGACCTGCTGGTCACCAAGGTAAAACTTTGACATCAAGTAAAAAAGGAAAAATAACAGTTTTCTGCGCTTCTCCATGGCTCTGTAATCAAAAGAGGTAAAAAATAATACACTTAATGTCATAAAACTGGATTTAAGGAACCATAGCGCGCGCTCATCAACTTCCATTCACCTCCCATCGCGCGCAATGGAAACAGCTCCTCGAAAAAGCCGGTTATTGCCTCAAAAACAACACGTTATCATCCTTTCCCCGAAAATCCACGATGTAACTCACTCTTCAAGATATTTCAGGTAGGATTTTGTGCTGATATCCTTTGTTCATCGCTTCAAATACTTGTAGCACTCCGCACGCGCACCGCGAGGATAGTAAAGAGCACTTGCCACTGACAGACTCATGATCCAGACGCAGGATTAAAGCAAAATCTGCTAAGCGTTTGGCTTTCTTCAAGACGTTATCTTCATTTTTAAGTTCACACAGATTGAAGATAAGTTTGCAGGGTCTTACATTTTGTTTAGTGTTCTATTTCTATTTTTCTGTTTCAAACCAGCCACATATTTAGTGACAATCCGTTTTAGGCAGACTGAGCTGAATCCTGTCATAGAAAGTAAGGTAATTACTCATAATTAGTTCATGCTCAAAATATATGCGTGCACGGGACAGTCCACAGAAATAGCGATGACTTTTGAACCGATTCTTGATTGATTGATTCGGTCGAAATTATTCACAAAGCGTTAGATCACTCGGCTGCAAAAGAACTTTGTTTAGCAAAAAGATGGAATATATATTGTTAATATGTAACTCATAGCCTATTAGTGTTTATTATTACTAAAATACCGTGAAAAGCAGCATTTATCACAAATCAAACATAATAATTCTTAAATCTCTTTTAAGTGATGACTCGGTTGAAGTTGGTCTTGTTTATGGGAAAGAACCGATTCGGTAAATTGAATCGGACCAACGAACGCCACAGTGAATTAAAAAGCTTGCTTTTTTGCCAAATGGCGGCACACAACGCCACCTGTTGGACAAATCATATAACAGCAAAGGAAGAAGCAGGAGATAATAAAATGATATAAATGATCATAAATAATATATTTATAAATATTTATAAGATAAATATAAAATGATATTTATTTGACTAAATTAAACACCTTAATATGATGCAAAATCATCAGTTGTAGCACATATTGAAATATCCCTTCAGTTTTTATTTTCCTTATTTATAAGTGAATTAAAAAAGAACTATCTCTTCATTACAAGAGAGTCTAGGCTGGCTGAGCTGAACAGTGTGTCCAAACTGATGTCACTATGGCTGGAGCACTCAGCGATGTTTGTTTCTTCTCCTGCCCCGATGAAGGGCCCAGAGAACAGCACTGCAACAACCCAGCTGTGCATAGCAAACACGAGGCCAGCCAGCCTACAAACAGAGCCTCCCCCATGTGGAAGTGAATGGAGCTCAGACCATGATCGGCATGGAAGATGCCGAGTGCTGTCCAGGACACAGGGATGAGAGTAGTGAGTGAAGCGAGCAGATGCAAACAGGCTGCTCCAATCAGGCAGCGCCTGGCACTGTCGGGACGGGTGCACTGAATGCTCATGAGTGAACTGATCCATGCAGCTGCAGCCAGAACCAAAGAGAGAGAGTTGCAAAGTAACGAGCTGACCATGGGGCTGGATCTAAATAGGCTTTGCATGGTAATGAACTGGCATCATGGATAAAAGAACATTTAGTCCAAAGTCCTTCATATTCTGTCCATGATTCAGAGCGTACAGTGAGTTTCCACCTCGGTAACCCTGTGATTACAGAGAAAGCCGTAATAAGCACAAATCATAGCTACTATATCGACACATAGGATTCTTGCTTTCCTCAGTCTGATGAATGTTTCATCAGTTCGATTCAGCAACTCATCCATGATTTCTTCTTCTCAAAGCTCTTTTTCAACCCTCTGTTGATGGTGTCTTTAAGTGGCAAAGCTAATATTGATGATCAGCTGTGGCTGGTAGGAGAGAAGTAAAGACGAATTTCAGTTTCAATCCTGGAGCATTTCAAATAATGCATGGTCACATCTTCACCTGAGTGCATTTATTGACATGTTTAGGATTTATTATTCATTAAAATCGACTTGTCAGCAGGCAGAAGTGTGCGGAAAGAATAAAAATGTTTTAAGAGGTGAAAAAAAAGTCACAATCCATAAAGCAGATCGACCCATCCAGATTTCTTCTTCTCAAAGCTCTTTTTCAACCCTCTGTTGATGGTGTCTGCAAGTGGCAAAGCTAATATTGATGATCAGCTGTGGCTGGTAGGAGAGAAGTAAAGACGAATTTCAGTTTCAATCCTGGAGCATTTCAAATAATGCATGGTCACATCTTCACCTGAGTGCATTTATTGACATGTTTAGGATTTATTATTCATTAAAATCGACTTGTCAGCAGGCAGAAGTGTGCGGAAAGAATAAAAATGTTTTAAGAGGTGAAAAAAAAGTCACAATCCATAAAGCAGATCGACCACAACAAATCATTTCACAACCCATAATAAAGCAGTTCAATGATCAGGAAATACAACTACTGAGTCATAATTATGCAATTCCAGCGGATTCAATAGATTAGCTTATTAAAAGTCATTTAAAACTCACTGTACTTACATGACGGTGGATAACATTTCTCCAAGACACTGCATGGAATCAGAGCAGGACCGATAAGGGCTCTGGGAGTGTTAGAACGTTTTTATTAAGTATAAATTTCCAAAATTGATGTGGGACAACTGTCCCTTAGTTTGTCGTTTTGGTAACATTCTTCTTCCCTCAGGCTCTCATGGTCTGACAGCTACCTGAAATAGAAATGCGATGTGCTATTTAGCAAATGGAACATCCTATTTATTTTTCATTCAGTGGCAGAGAACTGGTTATGAGTGTTGTATTTACTGTAAATTGTGTTTAATTTTCTAAATCAATATTGGTTTCTCAACAGCAGAGCAGAAAGTTATGTTCTGGTGCACTTGATTTTTAAACTGCTGCCTAATGGATCTGTATGAACTTGAAAATATGTTCAAAATATATAGTACATGTCAATAATGTTGAGAACTGTTTTATATGTCTAATGTACACATATAAATGCATTGTATAAAATGATTAATTTAAATATTAGTATATGTAGATATATGTAAGAATTAATATTGGATCCCTGAAATGTAGACATTTTAGAAACTAGCATAAAATGTGGAAAAACTGAATTTTATGCAACAAAAAGAGCATCTGATGATTCAAACTGTTCTTGATTTAACAATGCATCAAGAGCAGGAACTACAAATAGCAACTACTTTGCTTGAACACACTATTGCCACACACAAGGACAAAAACAACCCGCAGGAGAGGAGAAAATGCTGGCTCAATGACCATTAAATAGGACTCATTTGTACACTTCTGTGGGTGGAAAATGCAGAAAATATATTGTCGGCGTTCTGTTTTGTGGTTAATAAAGTCATTAATGATGTATTTTTATATAGAAAAAAGCGGCAGTTTGTCGTCAGGTTGGTGCAGCGCTTCACTGCCACCTTGTGCTTACACCCGATATGACAAGGACATTTTCATAGACATTCCAGTGTGGTATCAAAATCTGAGTGAGATTATGATTCCCCTGCTTCTATTTTTGAGGGTTAAGATTAGGTGTGGGGGTGGGTTTTAGTTATGGGGACCAATCAGGTAGCAGCATCCGCACTGAATAAACTAATCAGAAGCAGGAGTCAAATTTTTACATTAAGATTTCTGTACAACACCTTTTTTTCTTTCAGAGTCATAATCTGCTGAATTTATTTTTAATAAGACAAGTCACTGTGTTTAAAAATCACACCAAACTTTATTTAAAACACAGCTAACAGGTGCCGCGTTGACAAAGAACAGAGCACGTACAAAGTTATTAGGATAAAACTGCAAATATAAATTAGGAAAATTTATTTTAGGTTAATTATTTCCACAGTATGAACATACACATTCTCAAAAAGGCAGAGGGTAAAAGCAAGGAGTTTTTACACTTTTGTCTTAAATACAGTCAGTTCCACTAAAAAGGATCCATGGCTGAAGGTGCAGTGATTGTTTTTCACGTGGAAGGGCATCTCTTATTTTAAAATACATGTGCAGGGTGTAACGTGTGCGTCTTTATCTTTACCATGGTACAAAATACCACAAAAGACCAAACTCTTCAAAAATCTCATTCTCACCGAGACTAATTCAGTATTAACAGGACAAATCTGCTACATTTCATCACTTTGTAAGGGTGCTTTGAATTAAAATACCTTATTTATGCACCTAAAAGTCTGGCTGTTGAATTCACAAGCACACCAAAGCCCACCTAGCGAGGATTATGGGTAGTTTGATTTCCTAACAAATAAACGAAATTACATTATTGCAGTTCATTCTACCATATTCAAGTAGAACATTATTTCTCTGTGTGTGCGTGTTCCGTGTACAGTGATTGTTAATACTGGGTTGCTGGTGACCTATGAGCAAAAGGGAACAAAGACAGCAAGCAAGGAACTGTTGGGTTTGTAACAGGAATGGCATTAAACAGCTAGCCGAACTGTCATGACATTTTCAGGGAACGTTGCCAGGCTTGACAAAAATCACCTGCGTGTAGCCATTACGAAGAACTAGCGAGGTTATACGAAGCATCAAGTTACAAATCCCTGAATAAAAATGAGGACATGAACCACAACTGAACAGATCGACCACGATCTTGTGTTTCAAACAAAAAGATCAACTGAAAGAACATGTAGCTGCCTGTCTGTCAGTATGAAGCCTCTATAAATACATTGGCTGTACAGTTGTACTTAAATGGCAGGAAGTCTGCATTGATATTAGGGTGGAGTGGCTTGAAACATCAAGAAGTTTTTCTATGGTGCAAGTTCTTCAGTTCTGGCTTTCAGTAGGATTGTCAGTGCATCGTGTCCGTGAAGACTAGGACTCAATATGTTTCTACCTTACTCTCGCACAAGTCTATAAAACAAAACATCACAGCTCGCACATTCCCTCTACGCTCAGAAGATGTCGCTGTTGCAGCTGTTTTTAAAATCGTCCCTGCGAACCCAAATAACCTCGCAGTCCCTCTCAGAAGCGGCACCCTCCACCGCGCACTGCTTTCTCAGGAGGGTCAGCTTCAGGGGGGCGTGGGATTTCGGAGGTTTGTCATCCAAAAGTCCATTGAGACCGTTGTCTTCGTCTCCTTCTACTGAAAGGGCCTCTAAAGACTCCTCCAGACTTGGCTCAGAGGAAGGGCCCCGGACGGATTGGCAGTACTCATCGTCGTCGCTGAGGATGTCTGTCTCCTTCACGTCGTCCTGGTTTTCATAGTGCTGCAGGTCGAACTGATCCTCCACCCAGCGGTCTGTGTCTCGGATGGGCTGCTGGGGTTTCTGGAGCGAAGACAGCGGGGGCTCTGTCGGGGAGATGGGTGAGAGCTCTTGGGACGAGCCGTCGTCGAAAACCACACTTGTGTCTATGGTGAATCGATTACGGATCAGCTTCCTGCGGCCGAGGGTTCGAGATGGGGCTGAAACTGGAAGAGAAGAAAGCATGAATGCTAAATATCATTTTTGAAACAGCAGACAGTTTTCTACTTTAGGAAAGAAAGCAGCAATATCGTCTGGTGGATACTAGGATTTAAATTTATGTAATGATCAGCTCACCCTAAAGCCTGAAACAAAACAGGCGTTAATCATGTTAACGAGAGTAAGATGGAAAGAGACACAGTGGGAAAGTTAGCAGGAATATAGGGAGAGGAGCAGAGAGAAGGGGAGTGTTGCAGAAAAAAGTAATCAATGTTCAATTTGCGTCAGATGTCCCCAACATACCCGCTCTGTTCATTGTGGCTCGTGAACCCTTTAGCGCACAAAGCCGCTTCCCTCCGAAGGGAATATACTGCTGATTTGGAGGCAAACTCTCAGTCTTCATTAACTGACGGCGTTGTTTGTCCCTCAGGATAGAATGAATGGTCTTCAGGAAGTCTTTTTTACTCTCTGGAGAGCTAAAAATATAAAAAATAAAAAGCATTCAATATAAATAAAAATAAAGTTCAAATATTTTAGTGAGGAACAGAATAGAAATATACTGTTTTACAGTGGCCCCAAAAAGTATTTTTTGTACCCTTAAGCCAAACTTAAATATATGAATGCAGCTGCATTATATCAACTAGAGAAGTTCATCAGGACAAACTTACGAGTTGGTTTGACCAAAAAAAAAAAAAAGAAGTTTGGTTATAAAGACAGTAAAAAAGCCAGCAATAGCATGATTGAACATGTTGCTAACATCGTTTTAGTATGCGGCTAACATACTTTTAACATGTTTAAAACATGTTTTGCAGTATTGTTAGCATGTTTTAGCCTGTTTCAACACATTAATTGCATCTTTTAGCATATTGCTAACACATTTTAACAATGTTAACATGTCCTATAGTTTTTAAGAAACATGCTAGAAACAAGTTACAGTTAGAAATTTGATGTCAGAAGAATAATAATAAGCTTAAATGGTAGATTAGCATGTTGGTTTTGCCAGCCAATATTATTAAGAAGGATAAGACTCTTTTCAAACAAAACACCCTTACGAATGAATCATGGTTTTACTACAACTATGTTACTATTGTTAAACCATGGTATCCACAATTTTTTTTTTTGTAATAAAATTGCGTAGACACTAAAAGTGATACTTGAGGCCCACTTAGTGGAACCATTCACTCATATACAGTGGTGTGAAAAAGTGTTGAACCCCTTCCTGATTTCTTATTTTTTTGCATGTTTGTCACACTTTAATGTTTCAGATCATCAAACAAATTTAAATATTAGTAAAAGATAACACAAGTAAACACAACATGCAGTTTTTAAATGAAGGTTTTTATTACAACACTTTTTCACACCACTGTACCTAATCTTTAGACCAAGTCTGCAAAACTACAAGCACATTACATGCCTTAAACTCCGTTTCATTTTGTAAAACAAACTTTTTGCAAAACTTTAAACAGTTCTCTACATTACACACATCATTTGAAACTAACAGCTCTCTTGTTTAATTTGGGAAACACTGCCATTTTAATGCCACACTTATTTACTTATGACCTACACACACAATCAATCATCCATCCATCCGGAACATGCATACAAGCCAAGTCAGAAAGAAAGTCAACTTTATTTCTAAAGTGCTTTATACAATATAGATTGCTTTACAGCAGCTTCACAGTAGTATCAAATTCACATTCTGCTATAAAGAAGCTCTAACAAGTCAATAGTGTCATTCTACATCTCAAGTCAGTTCAGTATTGATTCAGTTCAGTTGCATAACTGTAAAAGTAATCAGTCATACATACTGTATATACAGTGTATATGTGCATATGAATGTACAGTATGTGCGAGTGCTGTGACAAACTCCTGTGGTCCACTGTACTCTGAGCAAGCAAAAGACACACGAGAGTAGTGTTTTACATTTTTCACATCTGTGTGTACTTTGGCGTGTATGTGGCTAATTATTTTATGTTTGTGTGTAGAGTTACTATGCAAAAATACTATTTTAGAAGTGACAAACTCCTGTGGTCCACTGCACTCTGAGCAAGCAAAAGACACACGAGAGTAGTGTTTTACATTTTTCACATCTGTGTGTACTTTGGCGTGTATGTGGCTAATTATTTTATGTTTGTGTGTAGAGTTACTATGCAAAAATACTATTTTAGAAGAGTTTTTAGAAGATAGTTTTCAAAGAAGTGTTTGCTTTTGCAAGATGTGTGTGACGTTTTGCATGTGTGTGTAGAGTTTTGAGAAATGACTAAGAATAAAAAAAAAAAAAACTACACTAACCATAGTTTAACTATGGTATTTGCAGTAAAACTGTGGT